CATGATCGAGATATTGATCACGAGGCCCGATGTGTACGAGACCATTGGGGATGGTAGGCAGGATGAGGGCCTGATCCCACTTGTGGGAGCCATGGCGCCGGATGCCGAGGTATCGCCTTCATGGTACGTCAGAGACAGGCTGCGGAAATACTCGGGTAGGTACGTGGTGGTAATGGTGGACCTTCGGGTGCACTGGTCCTTGGTCGGGCCCGTGTTTTTGACGAGAAGGAAGACCCTAGCCGTTCGGAACGAGATTGACATGGGAGCTTGGAAGGCGGCATACATGTACGATGATTACACGATAGTGTACCATCGGGCATGGGACTATGGTGACTTCACCCCCGTTAGGGGGGAGCACAGGCGATCGCGGGAAGAGGTCAGGTTGAATGTGACCACCACGTTCTGTTTGAGGTGCGCGGAGATGACGCCAAACGGGATGCATTTGTGTCCTGGGTGTGCGCTCCCGGTCTTTTACCCGAACTTTATCCCCAACGCGGAGGAGAATGGGTTCGAGAGGTGCCTCATCGTCCCGGAGTGGGTGAGGACCATGGGGCAATTCAAGCCCAGGAGGATTCCCTCCGAAGTGGTCGGAGTCATCAAGAGGAACTTGATTTCCTATTCGATGGCGTCTGATCTGAGGATGACGGTGCAGAGTGGCATCAGACTGCCCCCTTATCTTGGTGAAGACAAGGGAGGAGTTGACACGGCGTGGGATGAGCTGGCGAAGGTGCTCTTCCAATTCTCCTATGTGTCGGGGATTTCGGCCTCAGATGCGTTCGTGGAGAAGTGGGTGGCGAAGCACCTGATTTTGACCAACCAAGTCGATAGATTTGAGTCGGTCACGGAGTACTTCCGGGCTAACCCGAGGCATGCTGCTCAGTGGGGTAGGCGTATGACGACTTCCGTTAGGAAGTTCGCTCGCCATGACACGTACTTGTCCTTCTATATTCCGATGGCATACGTGATTGGCTCCGCGGCTGGTCATCTGACCCCATTGTACCCGACCCATCGGAAGGACATGGACATCCTGGAAAGTCATGCGTTGATATCGCAGCTCAGGCAGTACATGGTGTCGGGGACAGGGTACGATGAGAAGAAGAGGTTGAAGGAGGCGATAGCCAAGGTGGAAAAGGCAATCAGTGCCGGACAATCGGAGCCTCCCGCACCCTTCCGCGACCCATTCGTCTACGTCAGTGACGAAAGGGTGAGGACGGTTCTTGATGGTCGTCAGCCCGAACCATTAGACGTGGACATCGAGGGACTTCAATCGGTGCATCATGCTGCGCCGGGTCCTGGTCCCAAGCAGGAGCCGGTCACCAAGGGCGGAAAAGGAAAAGGGAAGAAGGGAGAAAAGGGCGGTAAGGGCGGTAGTCCTTCCGGCCCACCACCGAAGTCGGGTGAAGTGCCAGGCAAAGGATCAGGGAAGGGCGGTAGCCCATCTGCCCCAAAGGCAAAAGCAAAGGATGATGCTGGACCAGCTCCGATGGAGGTTGATGCAGCAGCGGCTCAGCCGAAGAAGACTTGGGTCGCGATAGCGGTTGAAGGGGCCAGGCCGAGTGCGAAGGCTAAAATGACCCCGGTTCCAAAGGCCGAGCCAAAAGGGAAGGTCGCTTCTGTGTCTGAGGCGAAGAGTGCTCCGGCTCCGAAGGCTGAGGCTAAGGAGACGAAGCAGGCCGAACCGAGGGTTGAGGTCAAGAAGGAGAAGGTAGGCGGAGACGTCGCTCCTGGCGATAGTCGGGGGTCGGCTGAAGGGCAGAAGAGAGAAAGGAAGTCTCGTTGGGATCCTGACGAGACTGTGAAGGAGTCAACGAAGCGAGAGGCATCGACCAGGCCTGATGACGTTGACAGCAGACCAGGTGCGGCAGCAAGAGAAGCTAGTGGGGATGATCTTCACTCCGCGCTTGGCAGATCTTCGGCAAAGGACGCGGTAGCGCCTTTGACGGCCTCCAAGGCGATGGCAAAGAAGCCTGAAGGCGGGGAGATCCGGTTGCAGTCTGCTGAGCGGGCTGCGGCGAGCCCGGTGGAGGGACACTTCCTGGTGCTGCCTGAGGGTTCGGTGGTGGACGCGTTCTTGTCGATCTCCACCAACAGAGTGCTGAACAAGCAAGTCAGGGATTTCATCAGAAATGGTGAGGACGCGTCAGCACTGGAGGCTCTCAACCAGATCGTGACGAACTCTCGCTCTGGGAGGAGGCGTAGGGAATCGGATGTTTCCCGTACTCCTTCTCGGAGGTCCGTTAGGACCGTGGACACCAGGGATTCCAGAGAGTCGAGAAGGCGCAGATACCGCCCGCGGCGCGAGGATGATCGAGACCGGAGGAGGGACGATGCTCGTGATCGTCGTGATGATGATTCACTTGATCGGGAGCGAGATCGAAGGCGAGAAGACCGCAGGAGATCCGAGAGAGATCGTGATAGGGACCGTGCGCGGGGCGGACGTGACCGGAGGAGACGTGACGATAGCCGGTAGGCTGAGTCACGAGGATTGCGGCCGATAGGCTTGCGTCCATTCTCCAATGGTCGGCGCGGTGCGGAGGTGGTGATGTTCCTCCCGGACCGCTGAGGCGCGGAGGTCATGTCTCTCCCATACCGCTGCTGGGCTGCTGGACGTGTTCATCAGGAAGCAGTGTGAGTGAGAGGGAAAGCAAACTGATGGGGGGTTACTCCCGGGTTTGCGGAATTCAAGCATTTTTCAGGTACGCATGGTCAGGAGTACCTCTTGCCGTTAGGCGAGGGTACTAATGGACATACGTTATCTTTTATTTCATGGCTTCTGATAAGAATTAAACTTCTTGCATTGTTGATGCAAACAGTTGTGACCTAGTGTCGTCATGTGGACTTTTCCACAAGGTATGTTGGACAGCGTTACCCCGATTAATTCGGGGTGGTGGCGGGAATTTAATGCCCGGGATGTCGCGCAACTGCCTTTGTGGGTTTGCTCCACCGCTGACGGCGGTAGTGTCCAGCTGTTTGCGGACGCATGCGAGCAGTTAAATCCTATCAGTAAATGGCACGCTCCACCCGTCATATGACGGGCTCCTCGTGAGGGGGGTGTGATTAGCCATGGTTCATATCATCATCAGGGACGTCGCGTTAGTGACCGACCTGTGGTGTTTTGGCTCAAGTTTTGGGTTCCGTCGCGCCTCGAATGGGCGTCGCCGAACCCCTGCGTCGACCGACGGCATCTCGGGGGAGAAAGAGACCTCGGGCCGCCGCCAGGTTGGTAGGGACCAGTCGTGCGGCCTGTTGTCGACCAAGGTTGCGGGTTAACCCTTTTCTTGTTTGGTTTGTTTCCTTTTGGTTGTTGTTCTCTGGTGTGTGGGAAACCCTGATCTTTGGGACCGGGGATTGGTTTGCTTTTGGGGAACCTTTCTTTTGTGGCTTGTTTACCCCAACTTACCCATTGCCTGGGCACAGGCTCGTGCCCGAATCACACATAACATAACATTACACACCATAACAAAACATACATACATACATACATACATACATACATACATTACATACATACATACATTACATACATTACATACATTACATTACATTACATTACATTACACTACATTACATTACATTACATTACATTACATTACATTACATTACATTACATTACATTACATTACATTACTTACATACATACATACATACATATCACATACATACATTACATACATACATACATACATAACATGACATAACATAACATTAATTACATACATACCATGCATACATACATTACATACATAATTTACATACATACATGCATACATTACATAACATAACATAGCATAACATAATATTAAATTATATTAAACATTACATTACATTACATTAATACATACATACATACATACATACATTACATACATACATACATACATACATTACATACATACATACAGTTCATACATACATTTATACATACATACATACATACAGTTCATACATACATTTATACATACATACATACATACATACATACATACATACATACATACATACATACATACATACATACATACATTACATACATTACATTACATTACATTACATACATACATAGATTACATACATTACATACATACATACATACATACATACATAATATAGCATTACATAACATCACATTACATACCATAACATACATACATACATACACTACACACATACATACATGCATACATACATACATACATACATTACATACATGCATACATACATTACATTACATTACATTACATTACCCTACATTACATTACATTACATTACATTACATTACATACATACATACATTACATACATACATACATATTACACACATACATTACATACATACATACATACATAACATAACGTAACATAACATTAAATACATACATACCATGCATACATACATACATAATTTACATACATACATGCATACATAACATAACATAACATAACATAATATTAAGTTATATTAAAACATTACATTACATTACATTACATTAATACATACATTACATACATACATACATGCATGCATGCATGCATACATGCATACATACATTACATACATACATACATACATACATACATGCATACATACGTACATACATACATTACACACATACATACATTACATTACATTACATTACATTACATTACATTACATTCATACATACATACATACATACATACATACATACATATTACATACATACATTACATACATACATACATACATACATACATGCATGCATGCATACATGCATACACACATTACATGCATACATACATACATACATTCATACGTACATACATACATACATACATACATTACATACATTACATTACATTACATTACATTACATTACATTACATTACATTACATTACATTACATTACATACATACATACATACACGCAAACATTGAATTTCCACTCGAACGAAAACATCAAAACTCCATGGAACAAAACCACAAGGAGGGTGTCCCCGAAAGACAACCTACAACTCCACGCCTGGAGCAGGACAGCCTCCTCCGTGAGCTGCGGGCCCAGAGTCGCGTCCGACGCCTGAACCGCAGGAACCCCGAAGCGAGCGGGAGGCGTAGCGTTTGGAACCACAGAAAGGGGTCTCTATAGGCTTTGAAATTCTGCGAGTCAGGATTCTTCAGGCTTTACCAACCATTGCCCTGGCATCGCGCTGCCGCACCGGCGTGGGAACGGAACCCACCAAAAGAGTGGCCAGGGAAATTCCCCCAAACGACCGACAAACATTTGACAAGCGGACTGCAGTTCTTCTATCAGGGTCCAGCGCCGGCAACGCAGCTTTAAGAGCCTGGTTCGAAACCTCCGAGCGGCCTGCTCCAGCTCCGCCATCAGATCCGCAATCCTCTCCTCATGGAGTTATCTGATAGGTGAAGGTGTGAGTCAGGATTCAGGGGAGGCATCCGACTTGTGTTTCTGAAAGGGCCGCTCCATGCGGTCTCTCAGGGTCCCTCCTCTGAAAACCTCAAGCCCTCAATTTTGTTCGCTATTTGGCCAACATCTCCATTATAATTCAAGTAGCAAAGTGAGTTGTGATTTGGGGGCAAACGGAACTTGTTGGGCAGACTGCACTTACCTCCCGGGATATATCTATTTTCAAGGATTCGATCGGGCAAGTCACGGATGGAACCCGATCAGCATGTCAGGCCCCGCTCCTCGATTGCGCCCACCGGTGCACGAGGCTCCTGGGGGTCTCGCTCTCGCCAGGATGGACAAAGAGACGGGGAGAGAAAGCAAGAAATAAAGAAAGAAAGAAAGAAAGAAAGAAAGACAGAAAGAAAGGAAGGGGTCCTTCAAGCACACGTCGCCGGAATCATACTGCCACCAGTACCAACGGTGGCTGTTGGCGCGGCAAGGCACCCAGGTCGCCTGCCACAAAAAAACAAGACCTCATGTCCACCTACGATAAACTAATCCCCCCAAATCTCACTATACAACAACCCTAAACCAAGCTCAGCGGCTGGGCCCACTGCGTGCCCACCCCTAAAAGCCTGCGTGATTCAAATTTTGGCAAGTTTGGTGTCCATCTTCATGACCACTCCCACATTTTCACCCTTTTGAAGAAACTTACTAGCACAATCAGCCAGGGGTGCAAAGTTCTGAGCGCGATATACACTAAACCAGCGAAACGTTCGCTAGCCCGAAACAAGCTTCAGCCATTGTGAAGAGTCCCCCCCTGCCTCTGAGCGAGGCGACAGGGACGACACCTCCGTCCGCCCGTCAAGAGACGGCTCCACGGACGCCTGGCACTTTCGGCACCCTAGAAAACGAATCCGACGACCAAACCTGCCACAATCAAAATTAGGAAATCCCGCGCTCCCTTCCCAGTGGGCTGGGAATTTGGGCAGAATCTCGCGAAGGTGCGCCCTGCCTGTAAACAAAACAAACAGTTGAATGTTGGGACTTTGGGCCACACCTCTTGGGTAGCCGGATCGCTCTCTGTGTAACGCAAGCCCAGAGAGAGCTGTTGGGGCAGCTGTTGCATCAGCGCGCTGCTCTGCGCTTGCCGAGAGCTTGCCATGACCGCAAGTTGGGTGTGACTTGCGCCGTTGCTTTTAGCAGTTTTCGCTGCAAGGCTCTCACCAGATTACTCCAGACGCCGTCGTCAACCCAACTCTGACTTTCTTCATTGCATGATGCGTTTCAAGCGCTTTACGTCGCTGCTCGCTGTGCTGCCCAGAGAATCAAAATCTCTGGCCGCACCCGTAGCCAGAACACCATCCCATCAAAATACTCCGTTCAGTCTAGTAGAAGAAACCACGGCCAAGATCCTTACCCCATCTCTTGCTCACCATTCATCTTGGCTCATCTTGGCTCCGTGAGCGACAGCCTTCAAAATGCTTCGCCTCATGCTAGTTGTGTTCGAACTGGGCCCTCACTCTTGCCGCATACCTTCAAAACTACAGCCTTCTGTTCGTCGTGTAAATCCTTCTTTGCTCGACCTCTGGCAAAAAAACAACGACTCTTTTAGTTTGGTGCGCCAACTCATTCCCTGCAGTCTCAGACGCCCAGTGGATTTCCGACAAGAAAGGGGGTGTCCTTTTTGGTTGGTTGAGTTAACCCTTCCCAAAAAAAGGAGAAGGGTCTCCGCCCCTAGGCAGCTGGGAAGTAGAACTGGCCCCAGAACACCCTAAGCGCTGAAAATGGCGGAAAGCAAACACCTACATGTCCAGTCTGTCCATTTGTTTGAAGGACATGGGGGACTCGCTGATTTCCCAACGAAGACTGCTCACGAAATGTCCTACGTCCTTTTGGAGGTGTCTTTGCTTTGTGAACCATGGTTCCTTTTGGTTCTCCCTTAAAACACCAACAAAAGGATACCCTCAAAACAAACGCAGACCCTATTTCAACCCTCGCTATGTCAAACCTGGCGCGTAACCTCGTCATCCTCAACGAGGAGCCCATTGTACACCTGGCTGTGGCAACCCCCCCCCCTCCCCCCAAGTGCTTGCATGAGAAGCACTCTCAATGTGCGTCGTCCTCTTTTTTGAGGGTACCGGGCAACCGGGTAACACAGTTCTAAGGCTTCGACTCCTTTAACGCAATCAACGTTTGCCGGCTGGTGTGAATGACTTGGCTTCCTCCAAGTCGAACATACGCCTCTGTGGCCGCATTCGGCCCGATACTTTTGTTGCCCGAAGAGAAGTCAAGTGACAGAAACCTTCCCTTGGCTAAGCTTGCCTACGCCTCGCTGGGATGAGCTTGGACAAGCTTTGGATACGCGGGGTTCAGGAAGCAAACATGTCTTAAGCTAGGTTATCCTGGCTTCAAACGCGCTTCACGTCGCTGGCTCATACGCCTGCCTTGTCAGCCGAAGTACTTCCAGAGAAACCAGTGGAGGACTGCCCCTGCGCGGCTTCGCCAGATCAACTTGCTCAGGCATCTGAATAGGCCCCCCAAAACCACCGAATCTCCCGGCGAACTTCTTGGAGCTTTTGCTTTGAAGGGTATGATCTGTGTCACTTGGCTCGGGTTAACAACTAGCCACGGTTCTGACACGCTTCCCCCGCCTCCGGCGTTGACACCGCCTGAGACGCAAGCAGGGAAAAACAGAAAGGGGCGCCACACGGGCCGCTGTTTTACAGCGCTCAACAAAAAGAGCAGGAAATATAGACGCGTGCCATCCAAGGATCATGGTTGCACCGATTGAGTTATCCAGTCAGAAGTCTGGTTTATTCCTTATTGTGTGCATTTGTTATGAGCAAGGAACAGGAACAATGCCCCCCCCTCTGTGGGCCAGGCCAGATGTGCAATTGTAGTGCCTTCAATTTATGCTCGCTAAACGTCTTAAGTCTCTTAATCAGTGTTTGCCGCTTGAGCATTTGTATGAAAAGCGCCATGGTGGAAAGCCTCTTGCGCTAATGATGATGCCGGATTACAAGTGGTTGGCGTTAGCTTTCATTTCTTTTGTTTCCTCTACTTTATTTGTGCAACTGCAACTAGCACAAACATTGGTTTCTGCTCTGCCTTTACCTTTCATGATTGAAAACATAACGTGGCAACAAAGGCCTTGGCTGCGATTTATGCAAGGCCCCTAGGACACACCTCCAAATCGCCGATCGAATGCCAAATTTCGCCAAGCAATCCAACGGTTTCGAGACCGAGCTCTTCGCGTAAATCAGGACTGGCACACGCTTCGCCGTTATGTGAGGATACATTTCTCTGGTGTTTTCGAGGGTCCCGTTTTTAAGTTCAGCCTTTTGCTCAGGTTTTTTGGGGTAAGGGAGGGGATTTGTTTTACGGAGGAGGCCATAGTAGAAACACAGTCTATGCATTGTGTTTGTGGGCTGATTGCCAGGCGCATCTGCGTGTAGTAATATGTGGATGGACAAGGATTGAATCAGCTCGGTTGCGCGGTCTCCATTGTCAAAAACTCCTAGATGCCTCTATTGCTCAATAACGCCTCCGTGAAGTGTCATGTAATTCGGCGGCTTAGCTTCCTAGCTGCCTCATTAGTTGACTTGAAAACTAATCCTATGGCACTCTGCAGTTTCTGATCTTAAGCTAGCGCCAGAAGAAGTGGATGCCTCAAATGCTACTTTAAAGTTGCGTGCAATCACTGGCTCCACTCGCTCTACAGCAGTTGAAGCCATTTTTACTGAACGAGTCATTGCATGAGTAAAATAGTAGCTCGTAAGCTTGGCTAGGGTTTGCTGCTCAGGTGGTTGCATGAGCAGCTCCATGGTGCCAAGCATTTTCTGCTAGTCAGAATGCTAGCTGAGAAACAAGTAGCCGATAAATTTGAAGTGAAGCTTTGAGTTGCAACCCAGCTCCGTAGCAGTCTGCTCCCTTTCAGATTCATCTCCAACCGCACCTGTGGAACGAACATCCGAGATTCAGATCTACGCGCTGCGTTATGTGCCTTTTGGCGCATGGACAAACAGCGCGCGTGAAGTCTGGACCATCGCCAATATGTGCGATGAGCTCTTCATACACAAGCGGTGTTCTCGCGCCCCAACGCCTTCTGAAATTCGGGTTTGATGTTGGGGTTGAACAACGTTTTGGCGCGTTGTGTTGCAGGAGCATCTACACTAAGCTATTTGGCATCTTGCTCGCGTCAACATGTGGACCTTCTCTGGTATATTCAGCAGACGCGGGGCCTTCGCATCCTGGTCAGATGCCATCAACACATTCCAATAAAGATACAGTAGCTTAATGCGGGTAGATCATGGGGCAAACATTTGGTTGCAACTTGGGCAAGGTCTACAATGATTGGTTTGGACAAATGTGCCATGCATCTGCCAGAAACCGCCATGTTTTTGAAGAACAGCTCCTGGCCCGCTCGCGCCTTGAGCCCCAGTTCCAGCTCCCTGACCTGACAAAAGCACGCCGCTACGCAGCCAGGCAAACCAGGCAAAAGCTCAAAGTGTCGAGCGAATGGCAGCTCTTTTCCTGTGGCAATTAGAGCCTCCGATTGCGGTGCATGTACATCATGCTTTGCATGCGGATATGACTGAACACAAGAACAATCCTCACATGCTGCCTTCATATCCGCTGCATTTGAGACACTTGTGCACCTGTCTCCCACCCTTGTAGTGGGGACATTTCTCGTGCGTGTGATACACGTTGCCTGTCGGCAACATCCTCAGTTCGCTACGTGCACTCACCTCCGGCTCGCTGTCGTTGGCCTCCTGAAACGTTGCCTTGCCGGAGACGATGATCTCCTTCTGAATCTTCTTGATGAAGAAACTCCACAGCCACTGCACCAGGCTCAAGGCTCCTATGCCGGCCAAAATGGCTAGCGCCGGCCACATCCAGCTGTCGCTCTCCGCTCCGTTGGGATCGTTCTCCTCCTTGGTTCCACTCGCCCTGATCACGTTGGCGAATGCCACCACCAATGCCATGCGGTACTCATCCTTCAAGCCGCTGAGAATCTTCTTAGCGCCCTTGTCGCTCAGCATCTTGCGCTCGATGTCGCGGAACTCGTCCTTCCCGAGCTCGCGGTTGTCGTCGTCGACCATGCCCGTCATGAACATCAATCCTCTCATCCTGGCGCGTGCCAGCGCCTTGGTGCCAATGCCCGCGCTGTTGATACTCGTCGGAATGGCCGTCGCCCTGATCACCTTCTCGTGGCATTTCTGCTGCAGCCACATCATGACTGCATCTAGGTGTCGGGTTCTGCCAATCCCAACTCGGCTGCAAGTTCCGCGGGCCGCGCTGCTGTCTGACCTGCGCACCAGGGACGGTGTGTGGCCTCTGATGAAGGACCAGGTCCTTCACTGCACCCAGAGACCATGGCCACGTACTCGCTCTCACCGCTTGAAAGTGAGATGCTTTTCTGGCTTCTCACTCTGCGCTCCATGAGGTTGCCGTCAAGGAACACCTGAAAGCTCGTGATGCTCTTCCTCGAGTTCTGGTCCCCCGCTCGCTGTCAGTGAACTTTCTTCACCTCGATCTCCTGCATCTCTCTCATGTCCAGCATGGACTTCCCACACCTGCTGCTCTTGATGAGCAGTCCATAGAACTCCGTGCCGACCAGGTAGCTTGCCAAATGCTCTGCGTGCCTCCATGCCGTCTTCGTAGGCTTTGACATCCACGCAGCAAGAGCATCGATGGCAAACTGGCAGTCAGGCCGCTCACCTCCAATGTAGAGCATCTTCCCCACGATCGACCTGAGTTCCGATGTCTCCGCCTCCGAGCTCTGCACTGCCGTCTCTTTTCCCAAGGTCGCTCCTCGCGGGTGTCTTCTTGTAGTTGCCTATCTTGATGTCGGCCTTCTTCGCGATGTCCTCGATGTGTTTGGGATCTGGCCGGATCACGAAGCCCTCGTAGGTCCTGTCAATCTTCCTCTTGAGGTACTCGAAACTCTTGCCAATGTCAAATGGCCCTTGCACCTCACACTTGCAGCCTCTGTCGCCCAGGAATTCCTTTCTCTTCTCCTCAGTGCCAACCATCAAATTGTCGTCCACGTGCAGGCTGATGTAGAGGTCTCTCTTGAACTTCATCAGAGTTGGTTGCATCACGTCATCCTCCATGCCAAACTCTGGATGTACCATCTGTTGGCTGCTGTCCGCTGTCCTGGCAATCATCGAACCAGGCTGGGGCACCATCAGGAATGCGTTCTTGACGTCGATGACCTGCACGCCGCAGTACTGCGGGCAACATGCTGCCAAATGTAGCAGCATCCGGGGAATTGCCATCAGTGATGTGGGAGCAAATGAATCTTCCACATCCACACTCCACCGGAACTGGCGCGCCACAATCATGTGGCTGCAGCTCCGTCAAGGCAGGCATCGCCTTCAGCCTCGCGATTTCTTCTCCCTCGGCTTTCTCATCCATCCTCTGGATCTCCTCCTGATCAAACTCCATGACCTGCATCTCGTCATCCACCGTCTCCAAACCATCTGCTTCCTCTGGACCCAATCATTCAATTCCAGCTTGCCTATGCCCTCGATCTCGTCCCAGACGTTGGCGTCTCCATGGGGCATCGCCGTGATTTCATCGACGTTGAACTTCTCTTGGTTGGCGATTCCTCTTCGCTGAGGTCATTCCCAGGTCTTCGCGCTCCATGAAACGCTGCCTCCTCTGATCTCCTCATGGCTTTCGCCCTTCTCGCGCTCTCCTCTTCTTCTTCCTGCTTTCTTCCTCCTGGGTCGCTCATCGCTGCTGTTGGGGGTGGAGGCAGTTGCCTCAACACCCGGGGCTCTGTCAGAGCGGCTGTTGCTTCTGCTGTTGCTGGCGCCGATGAGCTTGATGTCGCCATTGGATCTTCTCCCTTGCCAGGCTCCTCGGCTTTCCTCTTCTCCGCAACCCTTGGAGTTGCCAGCCCTGTCTTCACAACTGGCGCTTGTCCTCCTCCACAGAGTCCTGGGGTGGCCAACCCAAGCGCCACCGCCATGCCAGCCTCTCGCGCTTGACGCTCAGCAGATGCCTCCTTGGCCTTCGTCTCTTCTCTTCGCTCCTCAGTATTGTCAAGCTCAGCCTTCTCATCTTCCTCTGCCTCATCAGCTGCTGCTGCAATCCTCCTCCGCGGTCCTATCTTCTTCCGGAAGCCAAATAGTTCCAGGGCAGGCCCTTCACAATCACCAGGTCGGTGCCAATGAACTGATCTGGGAGCCGCTCCACAGCACCGCCTGGCGTGAGCACGATGTGGCAGTCGGTCCATGAAAATTTGCAAACCCGTGAGGTGTCTGTACATGACACTCCCCGAACAGGCAAATCTTCCCCTGGTACTTTTTCCCTGACCACACCTCACAGCTCGCCAGCACGCGGTACCAGTTGATCAGCCACGAAGCATGTCTGAAGCTCCATGGATACTGCGAGTTGCCCAGGATGGTCACCTGAGCTTGCTCCTCCGCATAGTACCTCAAACAGTTCGCCAGCCTTCTCACACTCTGGACGGTCCTCTCTGCTTGCCCATTTGACGCGTGCTGTTGCACTCCTGAGATGCGGATCTCGGTCTCCAAGCCCAAATTGGCTCTGCAGTGTTGCACAGCTCGAAGCAGCTGCTTTGTTGACCTTTCCCCGTCGCTCTGATAGATCACGGGGTCTCCTCCAGCAACCTGCATTCCAAACCGAACCAACTCCTCAACCACCAGCTTGAGGTTGGGGGCTCCCTTGCTCATCACCGGCACTGCGTGAACTGCCTTGATGGTCGGCAATGTACAGCACAGCGCCGTATTGCTCATCCGCATCTTTCACCTCCTCTGGGCTTTTCTCGTTGCCGTAGTCGTCCACGTATGTGTAGCCAAAGTCAAAGCTGATCACCGTCTTGCTGCTCTCCACGTCTTTCTTGACGTCGCGCTTGTGGACTTCTTCCTTCGCTCTCGCGCTGAGGCATGCTTGGCACCAACCAGCAAAGGGGTAGTGCGTGAGGTTGTGCTCGTTCTGCTGCTCCAGGCTTGGCCTCTTAGGGATGCCCAGAGACACAGGTTTCCGCTCCTTCTCGCGGTACAGCTTTCTCGCAATCTCTGTCTGCATCTTTGACTCGAGGTCCATCCTGAAGTTGTCCAGCCTCATGAGCAACTTTGACTTGCTCCCTGATGTAGGCAAACCGTGCCGTTCACACCCTTCTCGCAGTTCTTTCAGGGAGTTGTCAAGGCTGTACCTCACCGCATCCATCTCCACCTCCTTTCTGTGACCAGCATGCTCCTCAGCTGCTGCCTCTTCTTCATGACCTTCGGCTGGTGGTTCTCTCATCATCTTCTCGTCTCCAACTCCAACTTCCTCGTCTGACCAACCCAGCTCATCTGATTGCAGCTCTCTGTGCGTCGTGGGGAATGGCGCCACCGGGACTTCTGAGTCCACCTTGAAGTAGTCCTTCATCTTCGCAGGCGCCACAACGGTGATGGTCCTCTGAGGGTCTTCCGCAGGTCCAAACCGCCTGAACGCCATGTTCCCCAGCTGCGTGTAGTCGCTCACGTTCTCCACCTGCATCCACTTGCCGTCCTTGGTCTTCATGAAGGTCATCCTTGCCTTCCAATCAAACGTACCTGACGGATCCAGCAATCTGGATGGGGTTTTCTCCAGCTCCTTGAAGCTCGCGCCCAGGAAGCCTTCCAACACACAGACCTCCACCGTGTTCCACTCTTCCTCGTGCTCGTTGTTCTCCGTCTCCACCGAGCATATCTCCGCCACGACCTGAAGGCTATTCTTCTTCATCTCCAGCGGAATCTCAACTCCTTGCTTGTGCCAGAGATTCAAGCCATCTCCGCTTCTCCTCATCTCCCATCCACTGCGTAGTAGACGTCCAGCACACAGGATGGGGTGTTTCACCTTCCCCACAATGAACTTCTCCACGAAATTCACCGGGATGCCGTCCTTGCCCATCATGGCGAAGTTCACCTTTCTCATTCCGCTCTGCTGGATGATGTTGCCCTGCGTCTTTCATGATAATCTGTCTTCCTCCTCCATGGGCTTCTTCTCCAACTCCAGCAAACTCCTCAGGCAGCACTGAAATGTCTGCGCCTGAATCGACCGTCCTGAGCACCTTGGAGCATCCGTGATCCATCTCTTCGTTCACCTGGTAGGTCTCGTCTTCCGTCTCGAAGTTATCGTCTTGCAAGTCCATGGCCACCACAGTGGCCTTTCCGATCTCTTCCACCGCAGGCTCGTGGGCCTCAAAGAACGATTCGTCGTCCTCGCGCTCCACCATCAGCACGGCGTAGCTCTCATCCTCAACCTCCTGGATCATCCCCAGGAGCTCAATTCATGTCGGGGGAGTGACCAACCGGATCATTCTGATGTTCGCCGAACCTGCCGAAGAGCTCGCTGAGCTTTGCGCTCCTCCTGAGACCGTTCCACCTCCGGTAGTTCCCGATGAAGATGGTGTAGCCGGGGCATACGTCCAATCTCCTTCGACCTGGTTGATGTTCCGCGGGGCCCAACAATCTTCTTTGGACTTGCCCTTGCCCTTGTCCTGCGCCTTGCTCTTGCCTTTGCTCTTGCCCTTCTCATCCTTGGACTTGCCCTTGACCTTGAAGTCGTTGTAGCCTTGTCCCTTCTTGGACTTGCCCTTGACGTACTTGCCCTTTCCGTCCTTTCCTTTGCCCTTCTTGCCCTTCTGGTTGGAGTAGCCGCCGATGTAGTCCACATCCATTGGGGTTGGACCCTCCATTCTTGCCTGAGTGGGCAAGCCAAGCACGTTCTCTGTGCTCCATTTCGTAGAGATCGCCTCGTACTGTTCGATCCTTCCCTTCAGCGACTCAAACGTCGTCTCCTCGCTCACCATCATCTGCAGTTGGGTACACCTGCGATGAGACCCTCTCGTACTCCCTGACCTGGGTCATCAAAGCCAATGCCCTCTGCCTTGTGCTCGGCTGCATGTCTCTCAGCAGCAGCCTCCATGCTTCGTAGCCGTTCTCTTCCGGCGTGTGCTTGATGAGCTTGAGCGCCCGGTACGAAGCCAGCACTCCGAAGAGCCTCAAGCTCTTCACCTCTCTCGCATCGCTCAGCTCATTCCAGTCGATCGCCTCCTCAGCGTTCTGGGCAACCCGCTTCATGTCGCTGCGGGTCAGGCCGTCCAGCACCTCTCTGATTTGCTGTAGCTGCCCAGCCATCTTGCCGTAGGTCTGCTTTACGACCTCCACAAAGATCCGCAAGTAGACCTTCTTCACCTCCGTGTAATCCGCCTTGTACCTGTACTTCTCCAGGCCACTCAGGTCGTCCAGGTCGCAGCTAACTCGCGTTGGCCGCGCCTTCAATCTCCTCACTCTCCACCGACCACCAAATTCGAATTGAGGCCCACCGATGTTGACCACCTCCTGTCTCCAGCTCAGACTCCAGAGCTCTCCGCGTGCCCAGCAGCAGGAGGATCGGTAGCCAGGGCACTTTTGTTCTCCTTGTGGTCGAGGTCCCTGATCGGGCCGTCGTGGTTCTCCTTGACCGGGCCTACCACAGGGTAGGACTTACAGCACCGGCTCCGCTACCATGTCGAGCGAATGGCAGCTCTTTTCCTGTGGCAATTAGAGCCTCCGATTGCGGTGCATGTGCATCATGCTTTGCATGCGGATATGACTGAACACAAGAACAATCCTCACACAAAGGGACGACTAAAACAATGAATGGATGCGTCTCTTCATCAGGTCGATCCTGAAGCATGAGTGGCGCCGCGCCCTCCGCGCCTTCTCTGCGGTCAGCTCTGTCTCGCTTGGACCTGGGGCATTGGCACTGGTCTAAGGGTGGTTAGGCTGGCGATCTGCGAGTCCTGGGATGCCTTTGGGCTCACTTGTCGGCAAGGGACTGACTTTGGGCGGGTTTGAAGTAGGCTTGGAGCTCGTTGCGCTTTTGAGGGTTCCTGCTTTACGGAGCTCTTCCGGCACAGGGCAAATCTTCTTGAGGGTTGCCGTCTGACGGCCAGGCTGAAGGCAACAGCATTCCCAGGACCTTCAAGACCCTCCAAAGGGCCCCCTGCCGCAAGAAACGCCAGCCCGTTCAAGTTTGGTTCTACTAAGAAGGTCAAGGTCACCATCCAAAGAATGCAGCCTCTGAGATACACCTAAGCTCCTCGCTAGAAACCTATCATTGTGGAACACCATTGCCATGTCATGGAACAAAAACGAGACTGCGAAAGTGCCAACTTACACCCCGAATTCTACAATGCGTGGAGCAAAGAGGCATTCCATCAGCGGCAAACTCTCCAGTCACCAATCCGCCCTCTTGTCGTTGGATGTTCAAGAAAAACCCGCCCTCCCAAAAAGTTGGACAAATGGAGCACCGCTGAAGATCAAGGAGCAAACGCCCTAAATGCCCAGTGGTAGGCAGAGAAATCCCGGAACAATGGATGAACTGCTTGATCAAACAGCAAAAAGACAAGGCATCACGGGGTCCCCTTTTCGCTTGGGAAAAACAACCTGTGTGTGTGTGTGTGCGTGCGGAGTGGCAGAATACCCTGTCACCACAACCCCGTTTTTCATCAGCAGGGGGGGCACGGCGCCAGATTGCAGACCGTGCCTAACAAAGCTGTGCAATCTGGCGGGATACGGAGTCTGATCAACTCCGCGTACCTGCAACATTTGAGTGATTCTAAATGTCTATTTGGCCCCTTGGTTGCGGCGCTGTTTGTGCTTCTTGTTCTTTCGGGTAACGTGTTCGCTGCTAGACGGAAACCAAGTGACTGCAAGCCGAACCTACACCCACTCGAGACTCATCAGTTGTGCTCAAGACTCATCAGTTGTACTCGAACGATTAGCATTCTCCCTTGGGAGTTGAAGTGTGATCACCCCATCTTGGGGGAGCCTCGGGTGTACCCATCGTGTGACCCCGGGCCGGTTCGCCGGAAAATTTGACCTCAACGTTCTTATCACAGTCCAGTGGAATTTCACGTTTAAGCAGGAACGAGGTTTCACTCAAGGGACCTCTTCATAGATACGTTTCACACACCTGGGCGCCGCTGCTTGCCGATTCCTTTGTGCCTTGCGTTGTGTTGCCGTTCTCTTTTCCCAGCTGCTAGCATGCTGGCCACCTTACATGCTTGGGTTGATTGAGTTGTGTGTATGCTCTTGACGTACTGCCCAGTGGTGCGAGCTTTGATTGATCAATATGCATTGGCATGACCTTGAGTTGTCGTTGATTGTGGTTTGTTGTTCTCATTCTTCCTCAAGGACGAGCTTCGCCATTCCCTGAGTTTTGCTGCGTCGTCATGTCTCGCCGTGATGAACGTGACAGATCCAGAACTTGACGCAGACGGGACAGGAGCCCCACTCCCCCTCGTAAAGCTCGCAGACGTGATCATGACTCCGCCTTGGTCTCTGACGGCATGGATTGGTCCAACCCGATGACTTGGCAGCACAACTTGAACTTCAACCCTCCCAGTTCCTTTCCACTGTCGCAAAACAACTACTTGCAGAATTCTTCGTCAGCACAGCTCCATCATTCGACACCAGGCTTCCACCAGTACCCTCCGGTCAACTACATGATGCCGTTCCCTCCGGAGCCTGCGCCCGCCAAGACCATGAAGACAACGCTGGCACCACCTGGCAACACACAAGGACATCTTCCGGAACCTGCGGCAGCAACTGGCCATCCGGCTACGTTACCAGCACAACCTCAGAAAACTTGGCTTACTCCACCGGAGGAGTGGCAACCTGGCGAGGGCTTGCTGGACAAGAACCACCTCTACTCCTTCACCCTGCCCATGACTGTCGCCAACACCCCGCATAATTCGCAACGCGATATGTCGGGCATGGACATCCGGGAGGTTCGCCTGGTTCAGGTTATTCACGGTGGCATTTCAAACTGGCTACTGAGGCCGTTTGCTCACGGACGATTTGCGACGTGGAAAGGATTTCGCACGCCCGCCGAGGCCTTGCTTTGGAGCACTTGTTCGAAGCTCCTACGCCGATCCCAGCCCCTGAACTTGCTCACTTTGGAGAAGGACCTTGCAAGCTCGATGGGCCTCAACATTGATGACTTCAATCAGCGGATCAAGGTCCATGAGCACTTGGGCAATCTCGTACTTGAGTTCCTTCATCAACATCATCAAACCCTCAAAGCCCATTCTCCGGAAGATGACACGCTGCAGAAGTATCACAACCTTAAACGTGAACATGAGCTACTCCAAGCGCAGTACTCGGCATCACAGAGACCATCGCCTCCCTCTACGACGACTGCCCGCAAAGATGATGCGGAGCTGGTCACACCACCTCCACTCAACACTCGCAGTCTTCGACTCCCACCAGTTCTCTGCCCACGGTGAGTGCGGCAGCTCTCGATGGCAAGTCATGCGATGTTCCACCTCAGCAACAGCCTCGGATTCTCCAATCTCTGCACGGCATGTCGCCCCCACTTGCCAAGCAGGCAACATCGAAGTTGCTCACGATGCACAGCACGCCAGAAGATATCATCAAGCGCTACACCTGGACCAGTGATCAACCTCGCGTCTTCCTCAAGCAGGCCCCTACTACCACCACCATGCCGTCGTTGATCAAGTGGGCCAACCATCCCTCTCGTCTCAATGGCAATAAGTCTCTGGATCCCATGGCAGTTCAGCTTCATCAAGCACGTCAACGTTTGGCAAAAGGAGATGCTCCCACGTTTGCTTCCATGGCTTCTTTGTGGGGACTTGAACCAGTCTACAGTACCAAGCTCTCGGACAAGGCACTGTGCCTGCTCGTTGTGGCAGCTCGACTTCTTGCCGGCTGAAGTGTTCCTCCCTGGTCAGTATGAGCCCGGAGTGGCAGATTTGTTGCGTCGTGATTTGCGCTTGAAAACTTGTATGCCGTTGACATGTGTGCTTGTCATGACTTGTGAGTTGTCCGTCACTGCACTTGTCTGGTTCGCTTGCACAATTGTCAACATGTGGAATTGTGTGACTTGAACATTGAGTTGAGTATCTGCATATCGCTGCCACCTTGTAGCCGTGATTGACCAGAGGTGCATCATGTGGACTGAGCTTCAACGCAGTGGAATCTTCGATCATGTTGTACAATGGCACACTCTGTCTACTTTTCTGGAAACCTTGACGTTTTTCTCAGATGCTGGCGGTTTTGTTTCCCTGAACTTCCACTACCAACAGTACCTCCTGATGAGTATGAACCGATTCAACAATTGCCTCAGTTGCACCTCATCCTGGAAGCGCTCACCCTTGTCCATCGCTCTTCAGATTCCGATGACGACTATGTCACATACCCAACACGCGGTGGCCAATAGGTATGAGATCCACAGATTCCGACTCACAGCGTATCTCCTGGTTTGCTTCTTGCAGCGACTCATTTCGCAGGACCATGCATCCCTCCGTTTTTTGAAGTCCTTCACTTCTACAAGACGTCGCTGCTTCGTGAAGTCATGTACTCCACTTTCGCTGATCTGCGACACCTCAAATCTCTCCGTGCTCGCCTTCCTGACCTGTACGACTTCATCCAAGAGCCGGGACATCATCAACAGCCGTGCGTCTACCTCAGGCTTTCACCATGGCACAGCCCGTACTACATTGGAGCTACAGATCAAGATGTTCTGTGCAGGGAGCATTCCCGTTGCCGCAAATATCTCCAACTCCTGCGTGGACAACATGCTTTCTTTGAACCAGCACTTCATTATTGGAAGAGATCCAACAATTACTGGCTGTTCTGTGCTATTCCTATTGAGATCAGACTTCCCACTTTTTCGGTGTGGGTCCAAGAAAGTAAATGGCAACACACGCTGCGCCCGCATTTAAATGCACCCTGGGTACACAGACTTCTTCGGAAAATTGGCTTCCGTGAGCATTTGGTTGACTTCAGACGACACTCGCTATCATCACCTACGTCGATATCCCTCCACAAGCGGTTTCGGCGGCGGCTGCATCCCAATCTACATCGTCAACTACGACCTGAGATGCTGGACGACATTCAGGCACATTATTCTACTTTGTACCAGCTGGGATCTAATACAGGTGCGTCGTTTCAAACCATGCGCGATCTTTTATCGGCGGCCTTTCCTTCGACTCAACTTTATTATTTCCTGCGGCTCTCTTCTTTTGTCAATGAGCCGTTCCGCTCCAAGGCTCAGAAGCTTCTTGCTCAGGTTTTGCATAAGCGAGCACTCCAGGTCTTAGCCACTATGACACAATTACTACTTCCACCTCTACATGTTCGAGACTGGAAAGCTAAACTCGGAACCTGGTTGCAACGGTGGGTCGCATCTCATCGCTGTCTTTTCCCTTCGAAACTCGCAGTGCGACCTTGGGTGATCGCATATACAACTACCGCAAATGGCAGCAAAGATGGACTCCGGACACTTCTTTCCCGTGCCGCTGCATTGACGTGGATGACCGCACCACTTTTCGTGCACATTCTCATGCTGTTATCTTGAATGAGTTTCAATGTATCAACACCAACATTGATTCCGACATCATGTCTGCATCCATGAAGGATCAATACTTTGGCGATGTGGACAAACTTCAGCAGCGTTTTGTGTTGCAACTTCGCAAATTGGCTCGCCGATGGAAGGTACAAGGGTCCAGCTTTAATGCAGACTCCCAGCCCATTCTGTCTGAGTTATTTGATGAACATCGCTCCAATGTTCAAGACCAGGCACACTGGACCTCCGAGTCATTGCAGCACACGGCTCGTGCCCTGACAACGTGGGTTGTCATTCCAGCGGATCATTTCCCTTCGCGTGCTCATGTGATCTGCCCGACCTTGTTTTCCACTCTGTTGCACAAAACCTTTTGCACAG